CCTACAGAATATATATATATATGAATGGATATTACTACACGAATAAAGACAAAGGATACTAGGGAATACTGAACAACCTTTTTGCTAGGCATGAAAATAGTGAATTTATTTTCATAAAATTATATATATATACTACTCTCATCTGGATAACTCTCTTATTAAATACTCTTTCTTTCACATAACAACTAATCATTGTATATCAATATTACATTGTTCATCTTCTTTTAAATTGTGTATTTTTCTTTTTGAGTTGAACAATTTAATTTAAGGTGTAAACTAAAGCATTCATTATTATTTATTGTTTTTGATAATATCTCATATGGCGAAATAATAATTGTTCATAATCAGATAGTGTTTCCTATCCATTGTTCGTCTATTGGTACCATGTTGAACATACAACTTATCCGCAGAATTACAAAAAAAGAACATGGCAAACGACTATTACTTACATAAATGATAGGTTTGGAATGCCATATATCACTGGCTTATAGAAAATACTGTATGGTTATTGATTAATAACAGATTTCATGTTTGTGTAGTTTTTATGGTTGATTAAACTTGATTGAATAAGTTGCAGCATGCTCATTGGTATACGTGATTCATCAATATGTCGATTTTAGGCGACTGGAGACAATTGAATTTTATTGAGATCATGAACCGACTGATGTTAGACTACCATGGAAAACCTGGAAGAACTGGATGGGACCCCTCAACAGTGCGCATCCACGATACCGCCCGCGGGACTCGAACCCGGGGCCTTCAGTCTCGCGCGTGAACGCTTAACCTAGTGGACCACTGAGCCGGTATCCAGTGGTGTTAATGTCTAACCTTAACCAATCTACGTAGTCCCACAATAGGACGAAACGGCCATCCAGTGCTTCCACGTTTTCAATGGTGGTCTAACATCAATCGGTTCATGATCTCAATCAAAAACTTAACAATCTCCATAACCCCTAAACTGATAATTGAATTTTAGTTTGATTTAGGTTTTATCCAAGCTGGAGCTTTTCAGAGAGGTATGTCAGAAAATGTTAAGAGCACTGAACCCACTCACTAAGCAGATGTTCGCATTAACTGATGAGAATTCTAGTGATATGAAGAGCCAATCGGAAGTAGCAAAACGTCAATCGATGACAACCAGAAGCGACCCAAAATTCAAGTGTATTTCATTGAGGTCATTTTTCTAAGGATATATATGAATATATGGGCATTTAACTCAGTAGTCCAATACACTTTCTCGCTCAAGTAGTTCGTTGGGGGGGTAGCTATATAGCATACCATGTATCAGTACCAGATTTCGGAAACCGTAGGTCACAACACCTAGTCTCACGAGGATTGTTGACGCCTTTAGTATTGAGGATAAGCATCAATGGTAATTACCGACAGCACGAAATCAAGACCTATGGATTCCTCCTGATCGATTTCAATCACTTAACGGAGAACTTTGATATTCAGTAAGTCAGTCCAAATACCATACCATAAAAGTTTTTGGTAGAGTTCAGATTTTACAATCTGTTTGAGCAATTTTCGGTAAATTGTAATAAGAAAGCTTAAGTAAGGAAAATCATTTATTTTAATAATAACAACAGTAATTAATTTGCCAATTTCTCAATTCCATTTTCTATTTATACACTTCCTTGAAACCTAACATTACTACATATTTATTATAGGGAGTAAAATATTAATCTCTCTCAAGTTTTCTGTTTACCTAGTTAGAAAACATTAAAACGTAGTAAACTATTATTCCACACACTCATTTCATTTGATTAAATTTAACCACGTAAAAAAAAAAAACATGAACGTAAATGTGTCTAATTAGTTGTATTCTTTTTGGATCATCAGTAAATTAGCATTTTAAAAAAATGATAGAAGTAATTCACAGAAGAAAAACTGATTTACACTAAACTTAAAATAAAAGGTTCTTACTAATTGTTTTACTAGGCATAATCTATTTACCATTCAATCAAATCACAGCATATCAGATAAGCAAATATATAATGCATGTCAGTTAACTAAGTATAATAATACACTATTTCAAATTGTTAACACTATGGTAATGCACTGATAAGATCAGAACTTTCTAAAAGAGACTAGAAGGATGGGTATGGAAAAAGTGCACTATATGATAAAGCATCTATGATTTAAAGGAAAAGTAGTAGAAAAATATAATGAAATTATTGACAGGTTTACATCTACCCTGAATGGAAATTGTTGTTGTAAACTAAAGCATAAATATGAAAATCTGAAAGTGACAAGAAATGACCCGAAATTTTGACAAACCAGAAACTCCATTTAAGCAAAATAATAAAACTAGAACTTTATTGAGATCATGAATCGATCAACGTTAGATCACCATAAAAAACCTGAAAGCACTGAACGGTCATTTCGTCCCAGTATGGGACTCCTCAGCGATAAGTATCTACAGTCCCGTACGCAAAAATCAAACCCAGGACCTACGGTCTCATGCACAAACGCTTAACCTCCAAACCACCAAGTCAGCATACAACGACTATAATATCCGAATTCAACTAATCCACGACAATGCGTGACCACCTTCCATTGTCTTCTGTAACTGTCTCACAGTTGACACGGATTAGCTCCACCGGTCAAGGCTCCTCGCTAGTTCGGTTCATGATTTCGATGAAATTTCACAAGCACTACAACTGAAAACAAGAGCTCACTAAATTCAACATATTCCTCCAAATATTATTCGAAATTTCATTTAAAGATGGGGATTTTCGACTTTGATGAGTGATTTTATTATTTTTTACTTTGACTGAACGTTCTAATCATGACTCTTCTAATACTTCTCCAGAAAAAATAATAGAGCGCAAACCTTGAATGCACTATGAAAGATCCCTGTCATACTGTTGTCACCGGTAAATGTGTTACCACTGGTCATAACCTTGTTTCGTTTCTGACCTTATACCCAATCCTAGAATTGTCTATTAAATACAAACTAACCTTAATACAAACGTTCTAAAGTATCTCTGGCATCCATTGGATTTTCTCTATGCAGGTATCTGTCATATCCCAGCACAATCTATGTTTAAAGCTATCCATGTCAGTCATAATATCTAAATGTTATTTCCTGTTTATACAGATAAAGGAGAAACTAGTTATCACAGTTCCGAATGTGTAGCGCTTTTTGCATTGTTCCAGCATATTTGAGTCTTTCTGTTTATTGCCACGCTATTTGATTACTGATTTACTTCAATTTCAAATGATTCCAGCGGTTTACTTTTCACCAGTGACATGTTTTTCATGTAAAATAAGATGATCTGTTCTGCTTTCTCGGACATCGATTTACAGTTGCAGTCTTAAATAATAACTTCACAATACTACTAACTGTACACTATTTGATTTTGTGCCATTTTCCTTCATCTAAACGGTTCTGTCATAGACGTTTTTTAGTTTGTAGGAATTTTTCGTTCTCTGAAGAAATGGCTTCAACTGAGTCACAAAGCGTCAGAAAATTTAATTTTCCTACTCATTGGGACTTTAGAATTATATTACTTTTGGCTTTTAGTTAGTTACTAACCTGTACATTTTCCTTTTAGCATATTTCACTATCTCCATACTACATCGTTGATAAAATGATAGATAGCTTGAAATAACTTTGAACGACGACTCAGCTATACAAGAAACTTCCCATGGATATCCATGGCTCAGTAGGATGTTGAGAAAGTAAATTATTGACATGTCTTTCTGTAGATAGTATTGAAGATAATCTAATCCTAACCGAGTAGAAATTACTTAAAAATGAGTATTTCTTGACCTTACTGAAAGAAAATGCAAAAATACATTTTTACCTTATTAACTCAGGCACATGATTTAAAGCTGATGTTTATCAATACGTAATTTGATTACAAGTATGATCACAATGGGCAAATAAACGTTTGGTGGACAGCTCTTTTTAACACTCAGTTGAATAACTATCTAATGATTTAATTTACGACGGCAAAATATAAACCTGAATAAAACAACAGGAGGTTTATGATAAAATATCCAATAGTTGTTTGAACATCAACCGGTCAACTGGTTAAGATGCTATAACCCTATCTATCAAGTAATTTTCTTGTGAACTGATTATTTGGAAAATTTGAGAATAAAACAAAATCTAGGCTCTACTTCGTTAGCCCATACAGAGTCGTGTAAACAGGAAGTACGATGCATTACAGATGGGTATGGATACAATTCAAATAATATTGGGATTTGGATCTTGAATAACGGAGGAACCTTCTAGTTTCTTCAAACGAACGAAGAGGTAAATACATGTATTCTGTCTACCCAGACACGGTTTACTTGACATGCCTGTCAAGGAAGCCATAAATGAAAATTTAAATCCGGAATAAAATAGGTCTAGACAGTTAAGTGCTGTCTGAAGTGGGGTTAAAAAAAACAATGTATTATACTAGATTTTCTGTACTTGTAAGCGCTTGGATATCAAAAAATCTAACCTATCACTTATTGATTAATAAAGCAAGCACGAGTGGAATGATGATACGAGATAAACAAGAACTAGTCTGAAGCAATGAATGACTACGTGATCAAATAGGTCATGGCTCGTATTTCATGGTTTACCAGGAAAAACAAATTTAAGTAGTTCAATCAACTAAACAGTAATGTCTCCGAGTTTCAAATCTACAAGATATGCCTTTGCTTTCATTGCTAGCACTGAAATCATGGATACGGAGCCAAAATAAAATGATAGAAATTAGTCATTTTTAGTCATTAGGAGTTCACTTCAATCCCACTTGAGGCTTAATATAATGTAGCCTCACTAATTAGAATATTAACTGAACGACCAAATTAACCGTTGGGTGAATAATTGCTTGACTTTAGGAAGATTCAGCTACTACTTTTCGGAAATCTACATCAATTTACTTTCCAAACCAGAATATAAATATCAACTCTGCAAACTTTATCTAACCATGATGATATTAAAGTTATAGACCTCTGACCTTAGTTTAGACAATTTAAACAGGTTATTTTGAACAGAGAAAATCAAGACTAATTTATTCTGCATTTAGAAGTTTTGAAAAAATACTGACTTTATGTCAAAGAACTAAGGCAGTGACATTTACTTCGTTCAATGTTTAAGTTATCAGTAACAAGCAACGCAGAGCCTGGTACAAGTATGCGTTATTTCAGGTATCCACACTAAATGAGCACAAAACGAACAGAGGAAAGTCAAAATAATTGTGATTGGTATGATAGTGAGAACGACCAAGGATTAGAAATATAGTTTGAGAAAGAAGAATGAAAAGCTTTGAATAAAAAATTACCAGAACTGAAGGAAGTAGGTGATGAATCACATAGTTACAATAAGGTTACATTTGGGAACTGTCAAAATAGCAATTGCGAAGCAAGTGGAGTGATCATCTGACCGCTTGACAACAGCTACATTAGCGTGTGCCGGAAATAAGAGACAGAAAAACAGATAAAAATCTCTGTTGAATTTTAAATACTCAAAACGAGAGGTTACCATAGGAATAATATTGAACGTAGATTGAACAGAAGTCAAGTAATCAGTAAAAAATAGCCATTAAAATCGGAAAGTATGAAATAATTCAAGATTTCAAAAATATGGAGAACTACAATTATTAATCATCTAAGGGACAGTATATTTTGTTACTCGATGGCTTGTTATTCATGTTGATTAACTGAAAATACGACGAATAGAGATCATTACTAACAGCATGATTCCCAGGACTATACTAAAAGACATTAACAGTGTGAGCTATTGTAGTGGTTTCGTGGTGTGAACTATTGATAACGGCAAATATAAGTAGAACGTACCACTAATAGAATGTGAAATGCCTAAAGGCAGATGGTTGAGAAAATTGAAGAGAACAAGAGCAGAGAGTGATTGGTATGGAAACGGAGCAACCAAGTCTGAGACAATCGATGGATATTTTGCAAATGAAGTATTACCGTGTGGTTGTTAGATTTTACCAAGATATTCTGTAATGTTGTATCAAAATGCATTTCGTTGTCTCGACTTGTGTTCTCGTTCATTATAGCTCATCTTAAACCGATTCGAACCAATTTGCCTAATTGCTAGAGTGCTATTACTAAACGAATAACCAATCTAATTACCAAGTATACTAAAATGTGCTTTCAGACTACATACATACAATCCAGACGGTATCAGTAATTCCGATGTGGAGCATCTACTTGGTGATTAACTCTAGGTTTGTTGACTAAGCTTAAATCTACATTGAGTGTGGATGCTGATAACACTACTTATATCTGGATGGTTCCAACCCGTGAACCAGTTAGCCAAATCTTAATGAGGCAGCAGAGAAAAGAAATACCAATCAAGTAATAACAACAGTATCACCCCACCCAATACTATAAGTTTTGTTACATTAAGGAATGTCCAACACCAGTCGTGCGATATGAGTACAACGTTCTGTTTAATATGTTTTCAAATTACGACTACCCAGAATTACTTTTTATAAATGTTTTCAATGAAGGATGGTTCGCCAACATACAACTATAAAATAAGGCTTTAATATTATTTAGGGACACCATCTTTAAAAGTACTTACCAATTGAATATGCTAGTGAATTAACGTTAAATATTGAAAAAATGGGCGAATTACATGTCACTTAACGGTAAACAATATCAAATGTTTCAAGACAGCATATCTGAATGAATTACCATCGAACCTTACCATATTGTTGACAACAGCTTGACACAGGCATCCCAAAACTGAGGACAGGTGTCATACCCTATGAACAGAGAGGTTAACTTATCAATAATACTAAATTAGTAGTACTCAGTGGTAAAGATGCGGAGAATATCGTTCGATAAAATCGCAGAATAAAAAACATAATAACTTCAAAATCTAAGATCAAGAGAATTACATTTGCGTCATCATAATCGCCCTGGGGTCAACATGATGGTTTGTATCTACTTACAAAACCTAGATAAGCAACCAGTAGTTTTATGATTTGGTACCATGTTTCGGTTTATCCACCTCTACCTTTCGTACAAACCATTCATACAGCAGGTTATTCACGGATGGAGGTGGTCAGATATGAGTCAGGCGTGTCCCACTTACTTGAAACAACTTTTTAGTAACAAAACGTCGCCCATTTGTGTGGAACGATGAAAATAGATTACTTTAACATTTTTATTCGCCTTGGTTAATCAATAAACATTACACTTGTCGAGGAAAAACGATTGCTCCAATTAAGCACAGCATGGACAGAAAAATTATACCGGAAAGTAAATAAAATGATAGGAACTCAACAAAAATATAAGAGAACATATGAATACTTGAATTTTAAATCATATGGACTAAATAAGTAGGAAAGTTCAAGTCCCATTAGAGTGAGTAATATATGTGCGCAAGTAGGAAAAACAAAAACTAAAATATGTCAGGAAAACACGGGTGACAGAAGGCACAGATTAAAAATGAATATACAGTGACAAAAGCACTAAACATAAAATTCTGCAAGAAGCTTATGTGAAGAGCAAGAACATTAGAAGACAAGATGAAATAATCCGAATTATTACTCGTGGCTACTAAATGTAGTCGCTCGTCCAGGATTCGATGAGACGGTCCTGGAACTACTTACACTATTATTACGATTTGATAACGGTTTTCGTAGTTGACTTCTGCCAAATTGCTCATTTCCACTAGATGTGGATTTTAATGCAATAGTATTTTCACTAATCGATGTAAATTGGTTTTCTTTCTGAGAGGTAGCAAACAGAGGGCCATTTTGCAAACGATTTGGTCCATATGGATTTTGTCGACGATTTCCAGTATTGCTGACTGTTGCAGATCCTCTCAGTCCACGACGCTGACCACAAGGCTGTGAGCGGTAGTAATTGTCGCTTGACTTATTGAACTTTTTTTGATTGCCATCCTGATGTTTGGAAGGACAAATATAATCTTCACTCGGATTTTGATTATGGGAAGATGAATGATCTATGGTCACTTGGTCATCTTCCTCAACAGCAAAAGTCACTAATGACTGATAATCGATGTAACTGTATGTGAACGGATAGTATGGAATCGACGAACTATTTAACCAAGATTGTCTTTTGGGATAAATTAGCAGAGGAACAGCTATAAACAGTCCACTGTTACAAGCATTGACTAGAATATCGAGAAATCCATGAGATGAGTATGGTTGTGAATATGGTTCACCGAATGCCACAGAAGCTCGGCAACACGTCTCCATACGTACAGCAAATGCATGAACGCGACCACTATTAAAGAATGTTCGAAGTATGTGTAAATCAGGAATATCCGAATAAACAGGGAATGCGTGAGCCCAGCTAACATGAATTGCTTGATAAGGAACCTTCATATATTTAGCCCTGCAAAGATGTAGACAAACATGAAGAATTATTACTTTAACATAAACGAATATATGTAGAAAATATTTAAGAGTATTAAGGGATTTAATGCACAAAATTACAAATAAATAAGTCAGGTAAACAATACTTAATCCTAAGCCACATTTGTGGAATCACTAAACATAGGATTTAAAAACCAATACTTTAATCACGTTGCGACAAATATGTATATGCTATAAGTAACTATGAAAATCACATGGGGCCAACATGAGGCTGCGAAAGTTCTTTAGTAAAGTGGAGTTCAATTCTTGTTCGTTTATTTATGTCAAACAGATGAAAATATGGATGTAGAACTTGTCATAGTTAAATTAGTTTGTGTTTCATGTTGTTCTGTGTACAATTTGTTATGATGAAAAATGGTCTAATTCGGTTAAACGAGAACATTCATACTTTACTAATTTTGAGCATTTAAATTTTAGATAGAACTCCCGATGACTAAAGTATTTGATTGTCCGTAAAACATTTAACAACCAAAAGTCACAGTTAATGTTCATTCTAGATTTGATCGATAAGCTTAGCAAACCAAATACATGCTGTTAAACTACTTTACTATCATTCTTAATCCACTAAGCAAAATGTGATTTCTGAATCAGCAGTTTAGATACTTGTGAGCTAGTCATGCAGTTTTTAATGGCATTCAATATTTCAGTGCATATAACTTTATTCGGCGCGTAGGTCATTTAGTAAACCGAATGGATTACCGAAGCGGAACGTTAACCTCTTCCTAGTATATACGCCACAGCTAACAAGTCAAAAAATATTAGCAAGGTTTTTAAGAGGAAAATATGGTACGGTGTATTCGTATAAGACCTACATAAATGGATGGACACTAGTTTCACTGAGGGTGTCTAACGGTTAAAACCGTGATGTGGAGGTTGGGATTATATCAGTGACGCCAACAACCAATCAACCATTTATTGTTACTTTGAGGCTGCTATCTCAAGTGTCTGTAAGCAACAGCTATTAGTATGTATACTGTTGGATTGTGATTGGCCACTTGAAAGCAAAAGTCGCATCAAAGACTAGGCAAAAGGGTAGATGATTACAATCCACAACAGAAAATTTGGAATGAAAAATAGAAACCAGTTATTTGTATGAAGGAAAGTCCAGCCACTTTGGTTTACTAGCAAACCACTTAAATTCTAAATCTGTAAGAGCCCCAACACTTGATAGAAAAGTTTAATGGGGGAATAGTCTGTACGGTAATTTGACAGCCTGAATGTACTTAATTTGTGGAACTCCTCGTTTATCTTCAGGAGTAAAATATAAGGAATCTGCTTGACGAATAACTGCACATTTTTTGGATGGTAAACAATGAAAATCATAATATTCAGTTGCTTACTTTACTACGCTATTCATAAACAGTCAATTCCAAAAATCTAAGTGGAGTAAACATATATTTTGCGATCACGGCGCGACCTAATTATTAAGACACCTAATTTTCGAATATTCGGTTGTTCAAACACCGCCCAATGAGCTTTTATTTAAGTAGCAATATAGCATCTAACAATAAGTGGATGTTGATGCACTAGTTTTACACTTACGTGAGAGGATTGTTAAATAGATACCACTGGAAGGCAACACAATTGATGCAATGAATGGAAATTCGTAAATATGTGATGCAGATAAGATTTACAGGATTTTCCAAGCAAATTTATTTAAAATTTCATAAAACAATCTTAAAAGGGAAGATCCTTTTAACTCTGTAAATAAGTACGACTAACCTGATTTTTCTTAATTTATTTAGCTGCACAATACCGAATGTCCCATGGTCTAGCAAGTAGTAGAACGCTACCTTTGGCCAGGTAGGATAAACACTAATTATAAGCGCCCTTGCAAATCCCTGACTATGTGGAACTACAGCAACTGTTCCTGATGTCACTGGTTCACAAAGTTGCATACGGTAATTGTTGTTGGTTGAGTAATCTTTTTCAAGCTCTTCCTGCATAACTAGATAGTTGCTGTACTCTTCGTCAGGTACTGTTACGAAAAATTCCTTTGAACCATAAAGACTACGAATCTGCACCGGAACCGGTTCACCTAGAGGAAGTTGACGCTAAATTTATCGATTACATTCTGAAAAAATACTAACCTTCAGTTGGTTTGGGTTGCCAATTGTTGTTTTGGAGGGTCTCATTCTGAATCGATGGGATACCCAGCGTAGCACATCATTTTTGTGTCTAAGTGGGCATGATAATTTAAAGATCAGAGTGTCTTGTTTTCCTGGGCAAGTATTTAAACTAAATTCGGCCTCCCATGCATTTCGCAGCTCTCTAACATTCCTGAAGGAATATGACAAAAATAAAGAAGACTCACTTTCCTAGCCGCCCAATCAAAACGCCACCCATGTAGGCAGGTATTAAAAATGTCTCGTGCCAGATATCTCTATCAACGACTTGAGCCCACATATCACTAGGAATGAGCACTCTTGGCAAAATTTTGCCATCCAACTCTTCGGGGTTAGCTTCATAAATGTCATTCGAAGGGTCACTGAAACCTTCAGGTGGAAGGGTAATTCCACAAAAATCACAATTGGAGTCGGGCGTCAGTGCTCGATCAGACTCGGATCCTGAGACAGAACTATTGTTCAAGGTAGAAACTACTGTCTGACTGGCCGCCATTGCTAACAATCCGGGTGCTGTGTCAGAAAAAGTTAACGCTACAGGCAGTAGTGATTCCAAGAAAGAAATACTTTCCAATTCCAAGTTTTGTTCTTTCAAGACTACTAAACGTTCGTTAGTAAATTTTGTCTGTACATCAAAATAGAATTTTAGCGGTACCTTAACAAAAGCGGCTGTGAGAATGGTAAGTGGATCGTTATATTCAATGTCACTAATTAAATCCTAACAACGGTAAGCGTAAATTTGTAACTACTTGAATAGCAAAAGATTCCTCGCTAAACTTAGTACCACTGGCGTCTGATTGTGACGAAGATACAGGATGTTCAGTAATTTTTATCGGGTTGTTACTGTTGGCCGCTCTATGCTTACGTCTTTTTCGATAACAATGAAGCAAATATATCAAAGTAACAGCACAAGTAGAGTATATAACCAGCCTACTTGCTGTAGACATGCAGTAAACTTCACTCCAAACCTGTTAAACTGAGTTAAGAAACACAAACAACAAACTTACTACCTAAACTAAACCCGTTGAATCCACAACGTGCAACACATGCGTGATTTCGAGAGTCCCGCAGTACCACATTCAGCAACGAAAACAATGTCTGACATGCACCGTAGAACAATGAACCGGTTTCTAGTTTATGAAATGAACTTCCTACATGAAATATTTGCATAATGAACTTAAATTTACTGGTTTACTCATCTTGTCGATGATAGGTAGTTCAGCTGTCTTCAACAAAGTCTGATTCCAAATGTTCATCCACAATGTGCAGGTGTTTATGAATGGAATAGAAGCTTTTGTAAAACAATGTTGTGTGTATGTGTATAGTGGCAATTGATCATCTATCTCTGCATGCAGAGGCGGAGATATATATGAAGACAAACATGTATAAACGTTTTCTTTATTCCAAAGAACAAACAGTTCTCTACCTCTCCCTATAAAAGCTTTGAAGTTCGAGTATATAATACGTTTCTAACTCCATAATAATTGGTCAGGTTCCTTCCTTAAAGAATGTAGATACGCTGCTTAGAACACTTATAATTTTAGGAACTACAAAGACTCAACTACTTGTAAAAAGCATATGTACCATCAGTTCAACTATATTCCACTTCTAACTTGTAATTTTGTGCTAAGGCTCAACCTAAATGACTCAAGGATAGATAAAAGGTATTTACGACGTTGTAAGCCCGAGTCTTTCGTGTCCTAAAATGTGTAAATTCATTTTTTTAAGGTGTTCCATATGGGACTTGAGTTTAAGATTACCAACTGATTTTAATGAGCTTCAAAATACTCTTATTCTTTTGAAATGAAATACGGTTTTTGTACCTTACGCAGTGTCGAATAAGAGAACTCAAAGCTAGACATAGACCCAATTTATCAAACTGAGGATGAGTTTCGAATATTTTAACCCAAGTTTGGGCCTCAAGTTATGTTTGTCACACCTAACGCATTATTTTATTTACAGAGAATAAAGATTCCAGAATCAATTCTCTCTAAATAAATTCCAAATGGAAGACCGTATGGGACACATATCGGTCGCATTATGTTCCAGATAGATCCACTGACATCTTTCAAAGCTAAAAGTTTATCGACCGCTATTGACTAAATTTGCCTCCTATTCACATCCCTTGGAAGCATTAGTCTGTCCTTCTTGTTATGAACCTATTTCCACAGTTTTGTAACGGCGAAATGTAAAACATTCCTAAAGATACTTACCGAGATAATTTTTTTGTGCGAAATGAATAGAATGAAATTCTCATTACTGGACCCTGATCATAAGTAATTAATTGTGTAAAAAAGACCCAAAACAGTCAATCAGTGGTGAATAGATGCTTTTTTGGGCTTGATGACAAAATAGATATGACCGATCCAACCAAATGCTTTTAATAATCCGTAGTAAGTTACGCCTAACTAAACCTTATGACTGAGAATATTGGTCTGGTTTCCATCACTCTCACGATGTTTGTGATGGAGAGGTCACTCTTCCTGATGTTACGCTATGAATGTGTATCTAAGTTATAGATAATCAGAGATTGTAGATAGTGTAACCTTTGAGGGTACTAAAAGAATGTTCGCTGATCATTAGTTGTTGGGTTGCGTTCTTAAAGGGCAGGACATGTGTTAGCTTCTTCTTACCTGAGCCAACAACTTAAATCAAGGAAAACGCTAGTTCAGTGCTTCAATAAATGCTGACGTTTTCCGCTGAACTGTCAGAGCTATCGTGGTTAGTTTGAGGCGGCAGGTTTGACACGTTAAAATACTGATTCTTCAAATCTGCGGCGTAGACGTCGTAAGCAATTCGGTTCGCTGGTACCCTCTTGACTGAGTGGATCTAAAACTCACACGTTCACACTGATTACAATGGTTGGTTCCCATTTGATCTTGTTATTCGTAACCCATCCTTGTTATGATCTGTTCGGACCTGCGTAGATCTCAAATGACAACCGACACGCGTCTACCTAGAGTTCATTAAGAGCACAAATCACTGTCCAATATAAGGAAAAGGTGCCCTCGGCTATCCAAAATCAAAGACCATGTGAACCTTGTTAACGTAAACTTAATTTACAAATGCATTTTTGATAATTCCACATAATTTATACAATCACTGTTAGTAACTAAAACCCTGTCGCTTAAGTCTGACCTTGATTTGCCCGTAAACTTTGCGTCTTGTGCTTGACACACGGATTGTCCCTCACAAATACTTCTGCCGACATGCTCCTTGTTTTCGTTTATTCAGCTGACACAATTGCGGCTCAATAACGTTTTTTCAGTGCAGATTTACAAATCACATTTTTATCTTTATTACTGGACTGCTTTCGATCACGTGCCGTATTTGAGATTATTAACTGCACGTTATAATTGTGAATCTCGTGTCCGAAACAGAACATACTGCTCCTGACAATAAAAGTGGTGTCAAAATTTTCTGTATGTGCATTTATGTAACTGCATATTCTTTACTGACCTGAAATCAGAACGGATGTAATATTGAATAAAACTCATAATGAGTAATTCAATTGAAAATTGACTTTTCTTTCCATCATATCAACTACTATTTTTTAAAATCCAGAATCGAAATCCGGATTTTAATTTTTTCCGGTTCATCCTTCCCAACGAAACTGTGTTGGATCCTCATATGCCCAAGTTACAGTTAATTTGAATTTATTTAAAACATATTTGTCGCATGAAGCAGAGAACTGACTGAAATTGACTGAGTGGTGAGGCTGAAAGACGCTTGATATGAGGTGATAGAAGTTTGATTCTTTTGAAATATTGTGATCACGTTTATGGGGAACATCACTAGTAGATAGTGGATCACTATGATAATCAGCGTCCAACAAAAGTGCACTAGGTTCTTGATTATTACTTGATGCGTAAGACATATTTTCTGGCAAAACAAAAGAATCCCGATAACTAGATTTGTCAGGAACTTCTATCGAAGAATGATGAGCTTCATTTGGTGCAGCTGCATTCAGCATACTGCACGATTTGTTTTCTGTTTCATGGGTGGTTACTGTGACAGTTCCATGAACATTAAACAGGGAATCTTTTTGTGAGCTGGATACGTCAGTGCTTGCATATTGTGTTTCGGGGACAATGGGATTTGAATCCATTACCGTGCACGTTTCTGAAATATGCAGTACTGGACCACTGGGTGGGTCTTGAATGACTGCCGTCTCGTTTAAATCACAGCTTGCCAAGGATTCATAGAGGCTGCAATCATTTTCCAGCTCAATGTGCAATTGAGAAATTAATCCATTCACTTCCGTCGCATCTTTAAATCATGGGTGATTCAGCAGCTGCGTGTGTGATTTGACGAAGAACTCTAACTGTCACCCAAATAGCAGCTGTAATCGATCGAAAGGGAGAGTCAATTTTTTAAAATCAGCACTGGCAATGAAAATTACCGTATGACCAGCGGTTTTTTCGACACAACAATCAGTGACGACCAGATATAACAATTGTCGACGGTGATGGGATAAAAAATACGATCCAAATTAATATGTCGAAAACAAATTCAAATTAATTCTAACTTGGGCATATGAGGATCCAACACTTTCGTGGGATGGATGGACCTGGAAAATTTAAAATCCGGATATCAATTCCGGATCTTCAAAAAAGGGGTTGTTATGCCTCAACCGTAATTTAAACGAAACGGCAGTCATTCAAGATTCGCCCAAAGGTCCAGTACTGCCCGTTTCAGAAACATGCCCGGTACTGGATTCATTTCGCAGTGGCTCGGATTGGTGTTCTGGACTTAACTGGCTGGGCTAGGCGGAAAGCAGGACCTATCAGAACTCTAGGCTATCCGCGCGTGTCTTACGCGTCACATGTACGACCGATAATTCACTGCTTTCTAATCGGCGGTTAAAAGTTATAACAAATATCACATCCCAAACTCCATTAACCTCGAAACAGCATGTGCAGACAGTGATTTATCCACCTCACAAACAGGCGCCCTGTTAAATGTTCATACAATTGTCACAATAACCGCCCACGAAGGAGAAAAGGATGGATTAATTTCTCAATTGCACAGAGAGCTGGAAAATAATTGCAGCCCCCATGAATCCTCGATAAACCGTACTTCAAACGAAACAGTAGTCATTCAAGATCCGCCCAGCACAGTCAGCCGGTAATTTGACGAAATCCAGTCAAATTTGTTTTGCGATATGAATCATTACATTTCAACATACTGAGTTTATATACCAATCAAACGGACCACAACGTACAAACAAAATATGAAACAACATTTGTACAAAAATCAGCCAGATGTGGCTGTGAATGAGGGAGGTAGTGACTAATAGACAGGGAATAGTTCAAGAATGGAAAATCGTATAACAACAGTTTATAGGTTAAAATAAGGTTTATATTAAAAGAGACATGAATACGAATAGTTTAGTTAATTAACAATTATACGATAAAAATATACGTGTAGTATTGGTCCGCAAATGGATCCCAAAAATTACGACTCATTATTCTTATCGGGGCATAACACAACCTTATTCCTATTTTTCTGTGAACACTTTTAGTCCTCTACAATACTGATTCCGCTATGCTTACTATATCAATCTTCCGGTTCAACTATCTTTGAGCTCAAATCTTCCATTATGAAATTTTGCTGTGGAGGATAACAAAGTGTGTCCTGGCTTCGCTAGTAATCCAGAGATGTGAGGAATCCTTGTCTGAAGTAAGCTCCATAAGAGTTATACTGAAACAGTTGATAGAATTTTATAGAGTTTATATTTTACTTTGAAGTGGAAGCATTCTGTAAGCGTTGTACTGTGAGACAATTTCACTGAAATTTCCAGAATTTCCATCGAACACATTGTCCAATCGCATAGAAACTACTGGAAAATCTTGTTCTCCCGAGTGGAAAAGAGCTGGGTTTATTTACTGATATTGTCTATTACATTGTACCAACCCGACCACTTCTTTGAAATGGCAGGTACTTTGTCCTAACCTACAAAATATAAATTATAATTATTGCTATGAACTATTTTTGTGCTTGGAAATTTGGGATTGTGACACATTTCTTTCTACAGTATTCTGAGACTTCGTGTCTTGAAATCTGTAATAGAGGGCCGAACAGCTTCTTTACGATTCAGTGTTAGATATCAGTCACTTGTTGCTAAAAAGACCTACTCATCTTCTTGGTACCCATCTGACTCGTTTTAGGGATGAATTGAACGACCAAACCATTTGCTAAGTCTAATGAGCCTAAACAAGCCACACAGACATCGTAAACCTAACAAAATAGATGCGGGGTTATTCTTTTGTATGGTGCTA